GAAGTTTACAGCCGCATGGTAATCGTCAGTATGGGCTCATGCAACAGTATGAGCCTTTCAGCGCGTGTTCATGGACTTCGCGGACCTCTCGCAAACGTCGGAGGGCTATGCCTACCTGATCTATTGGTGGACCAACTGACGGGCATGATACTGCCCAAGCCTTTCGATTCCAAGAGCAGCAGGAAGGTGAAGCGTTTTCTGCGGGAAGTGGTCCACTCGTGGGGTCAGCCTAAGACGTACACAGTGGACCAGGATATAATCTTAGACCATGGCAATGGGGCGGCAGAGGCAGCCGTGAAGGTTTGGATCCTTAAGTCCCTCACGGAGGACATGCAAGGGGACTGGGTACAGGTTGCGTACCAGTTCCGGAACGCATACAATGCGCACAGACGGCCACGTTTACACGGGGGCACGCGCCGTATACCATGGCGACGAACCGTCGGTAAGACGGGCACCGTGAGTTTGCGCTGGACGAGCAGGTGAGGGTGCTGTTACAGCGGTCGGACACGGCGGCGGCAGTCATCATCGACGATGTCACGCACGCAAAGGTCCAGTTAGCACAGGCAGCGCAGCTGAGGAGAGGTAATGCGGTGCGTGAAGACGTGGTTGAGTTTGCTGAAGGATGCTTGGTCTAACAAAACCAAGACGGGGTGGACGCTGTCACCGCCACCTTACCACCTACTCTTATCCTCATTTTATAGTCTAAAGGACATTTTAGTTTGTTGAGATATTTCAGAATTGTACGGTCAATGTATGAGTAGTAGCGATTTGATTTGTAAACTTCACTCTAGATAGCAATACATATATATGCTCATAAGAGATGCGTCTTAACCGTTTTCCAGGCCTACTTTGATGATTTTGTTTTAGGGTTTATGTTTGTCTTCAGGTATTGTCTGACCTTGGAGTTTATGGATTGTCAAAGCCAAAGCAGGTGAATATGGGAAGGAATTTACATATAGTTTGCCGCCCTGAAGAGTTTGCCTTGTGACAGAAGTACGATTGGCCTCGAAGTCCATGTCGGATAATGCTATAGGTACTAAATTGTGAATACGATCGGATACGAATATTTGTTTGTCTATGGGTACACTGTTAGTGATGTCGGTATTTGGTTGAACGATTATGTAATCTGGGGTGGGAATGATTAAGGGGATGCCGATTTGGGCCGTATGTTAAATATCGTCGAGCTCTATTTGTTTGCTTGTTTATATTTGGTGTATTTTAATTTTGCTCGTGCTCCATTTGCTAGTCTATATTGGACACAAATGTTCATTCTAAGAATGATGGGAAGTGATTCAGTGAAGTATTGATATAATTTGGTGGGAAATGAATGTGTGTCTTTAGATAGGTGATAATTATCATCCTTGTCGCCACGTAGATGCCCTTGAAACTTGTATAATGTCGTACTCGTATATCATTTATGGCTCTGCGTTCTTTATTCACTAGACATACATATGGTGCGGTCAACCATCGCTGAGGGTCTGATTTAAGTAGTTCTGGTGTAAGTGGTTGGAAATACATGAAGGGTTCCCTAATATTGTACTCGTTGGTTCGAATTGTTTTGACAGATTTACGTTTGTGGGATCTTGTGTGCGCTGTATTCATACACGGTGAACTGTTTTAGTATCTGCTTGGCAGCTGATTCATCGGTTCTGTTGGTGCAATGCAATATTGTTTTGTGAACTGCTTGCTGTTTACACAGAGGAACTTGTTTTGAATCTCCTATTTGAATTACGCTTATACCGCCGAATAGATCGGCATCATTGTGATAAATTTCTTGAAGTCTCCTATTCATACAATACAATAATTGTTCAGCAGATACGAATGACATTCATCTATTACTAGTATACGCAACTACCCAGTTCTTGTATTAAACGTAATCCCTCACTAGCCTCTAGAGGATGGTACCTTTGTTTGTCGCAAGGTATAGAGAGTAGTTTAGATAACGTTTCACCATCGGGTTGTAGAACGGATGCTACACCGGTGAAGGCACTGAACCGTATTACGTGGAGCTTTTTCTTTATCAGTATTTATTGACCACAGATTTCCTACTCCTGCACCACCTTGTATCCAGATAAATTCTTCCTGTGGAGATCTATGAGGATACAAAGCTATGAATAAAGGTCTTGCATTTCTGAGTTTTTAATGATTGAGAGTAACTTTGTAGCCATGCTTCTTTGTTGTTGATAAAGGCGAGTATCTATGATTGAAGAGTTGTCATCTGCATCGAAACTATTCCTTGTGCTGTGAATATTCTAGAATTTTTTTTTTTTGAATTGCGGCCTTGCAATCATCTGCACTGTATGTATGAATATGAACAGCAATACAATTTTTTTTTGTAAAAGTGGTTGCGTACTCAGATTATATATGGTATCACATTTATCAATATCGTTTAAGATAGAATTCAGAAACACGATATCATGACTATCTTGTTCGCTCTGACCATCTGCAATGCTTTTCAGCTTGCCCAATGCTTCTTCGATAGTTTTTATATTGTCTGTTATGGTTATATATGATTGTGATGTGAGATTGTGTGATAGGGTTTTGTCGGAATCTGTTCTCTCAGATTTAGACCATGGTGTCACACCTCGTTTTCTGATCTTATTATTATAAGTAATTCACGGTTGTCAGTGTCTACAGAAGTACCACGACCCAGTATTGTTCTCTAGTCCTAGATAATGAGTCATTGTTGTCTGATTGTTGTAAATAATTTAAGTATTGGTCTAATCCATCAACATGGAATGTGTAAATGGGCAGACCAGAATCGATTTCCCAAGAGGAATGCAAGGATAATATGTGGCGTGCGAAATATAGTGTTCTGGATTTTTTTTTTTTTGCGGTGTCTCAATTGTACGATCTTAGTACAGTTGGAGGTGGAGCACCTGCCAACATCGGAATGGAGAACTTAGACCTTAGGTGGACACAGTATTGTCCGTACAGAGTATGTTGTTGCTGTATATGGCAGAAACCATTCTTCTTTCTTGAGCGACCTGTACGGGTGTTGGAGGTTTGCTCGAATAAGGTACTTAAGTCTGATTTCAAAGTTTTTTATTATGGTCATTGCAAAAACAACAACCAGAGTATGTAACGATCTATTTGTGAAGCGGAACCTTTTTGGATATATATTCGGGGTGTTCGTCGGCATCAATATTCATGTCGTCAATGTTTGAATCAGCTAAGGATTCAGATAAGGTTGTATATGTTAAAACCTCTTCAGGTGTTAAGGGAGACCATTCATTGGTATCATCGTCGTCGGTACGATGAAAAGGCATGGATTAAAAACGTGTGCCGGGGCTACTAAATATGTCGGATTCAATACGAGTTTGAGTGTGGTATGTCATGAGTTTTATTGTGTATCATTCACGGAATGTTCGTGTGGAATATCGACATCTGTGTTCTTATTGTCATCATCGGAGTCACTGTGAACGTTAGTATGTGTATCGTCGTGAGTTTGAGCATTAGTCTGCTTCGACAAATTAGTGACTTGCTAAGGAGATATGTAAGAATCAAGTACAAAAGAACTGCAGGAGTCAGATCTGGGTTAAAAATAATAAGGCATAGCCTCCTGAATTGCAATACAAACCATTGTATTAATTCGATTTTTATTTTTTTGATGTTGTGAAAATTGCTTCAGTTGTGGGTTGTATCTATTTTCAATATATTCCGTAGGGTATTCTTCAGTATGATCGAATGCTTGAGATATAATGTCTAGCACATCAGTCAAGGGGTCGTCCGTCTTGCTAATATATTTTGACGTGTAATAAGATGAATTTCTGAGTTGTAAGGCACTGCCCATTAAGTACCAAGCTTGGTTGCACTTTAATGCAGCCATTGTAGGTATGTTATAATCTGTGACATGTGTATCTTGCTTTGTTTTCCGGTATGTGGCCAAAGAAAAACATCGATCATCCTCTCGTCTATGTATCTGCTGTACAGTGTGCGGGTGTGTATTGATTTGTGTTGAGTTTGTTACTAGTTCTGTAAATATTATATCATGAGTATCATCGTGTGTTAACTCTAAAAGCTGAGTGATGGGCTGTAGTAGAGACGGTTTAGCTATACGGCAACCAATCTTTCCGGATTTTAAAAACCCTATTTTTTTTCCCTTTTCCCTTTTGCACATGTAATTGTGTGTTTATGTATCTGTAGCGTATATGCTGTCTTATTGATATCTTCAAAAAAAAAGGTAGCAGGGAATTCTACATCAAGTGATTGAGTAGGGTGCATTGCGAGTGGTTTTGGCTCATTATCAATGTATGGATTGCAACCATGAATATATTTTGCAAACTTGTAGTCTGATGTTTTAGTGTCTTTGGGATATTTTAAATTATTGGAATTCCGGTTAGTATTGTGGATCTCATTCGATGTAGTCGGCCTTGAAAACCTCGTATCAGGATGTAATGATGGATAATTATTTCCTTGTGTTGAAATTGAAGTGGCTGTGATGTCAGTCTGCTTGTTAATGGTATTGTTCATGTCGTTAAAGATTCTGTCATATGTACTGATGTCATCTGGTTTGACATTCAATGTATATCCATTGTGTCATTTTTTCTGCGGGATCTGTGATAGCTATTCCTGGAATAGTAAGAGTGTTATTCGGGCAAACATCAGCAAACATGCTGTCATAGCCATCAGCAAGATCATATCTATTGATGGGTGAGTGAGTTGTATTTTGATTCATATGTTCCTGTGGGAACCCATGTGTGAAAATTGAATGATGTGTGATTTTTTGAATAATCTGTATATTTTCGAAAGTTCCCAAATGTATGTGCATCGATAGTATCATAATCATTTGACGGATCATTTGTGTCTGTTATGTGAACCTCATGTTCATTGAGAGATTTTTTCACGTGATGTAGAGAAAAATTCATCTGAAGGATCTATTTTTGACCTAGATCATAATTATGGTTAAATTTAACATGTTTGTAAACTGTTGTTGATAAATGATGTGAGTCTACTATACGACATATTTGTTTACTGAATTTGTCACGAGAATTAACTTTTAAAGCTTATTCCAGAGAAAGTACCTCGATTTTGACACTCATCCCTTCGAGTAATGGATCAAACTCTACCAGCAATACCTCTAGGTTGAGTAGAAGCTGGTGTTGATTTTCTTGTTGACGTGCTTAAAAAATACCCCTTGAAATGTTTGAACGATCCGTTGATATCCGTCTGCAGCAATCACGGGGTCTTTACAATGTAAGTCAATTTGTCGGTGTTTATGCCAGTAAGGGATACTAATTTGTACATTACCTTGTTCACCGGTGTTTTGAAGAACTTTCCCTAATTTAACCAACAACAGATTATTTGAAATGCCGGGGGATATGGTGACAAACTGGGACACTGGACCGTAGAAATAATGCTGTGCATGAATTTTATTTAAGTAAGTACCTGATACCTGATCTGTACACAGATGAGTTGTACACAAATCAAACGAGTTACATGCTGTGCAGGCTGCCTATGACTACAAGGGTAGCAGCATATGTGTCCGAAATTTTGATCCGTAGAATGAAAGGAACGGACATTGGAACCTGGCGATCGTTACATTGTATTAATTAATGTTATAGATATTATATTAGAAGTATGTCAACTCCTGCTGAAGCTGATTTATATAGTAAGATGGAATTACAATTCTCATATGGTCCTGTAAACGAGCATCATCGACCACGTGAGTTGCGTACTAGGCAGTGAGATAAGCTTGAATGAGGTAGCATATACAAACAACAAATAATAAAAGACAACATTTCTTCCCTCAACAAATTTATTCGTCAAAAATTGATATAGCCAAAGGCTCTTTAATTTAAATTTAAATTTAAACAAATTTTGCACGATAAAGTCATAAATGTACATAAAAAAAATTGGAATTGTCGCTAAATGTACATTTGTACATATTTGATCAATATGTCAGTACGTTTTCATCGACAAAATAGGTGAATGTACATTTAGTGACTTTTCCACATTTTGAATGTACATTTAGCAACTTTGTTCATAATTTATACTGATATATGCTACTTCATTCAAGCTTATCGCAATGTCTGGCGTGGCGTGCAACTCACACAGTCTGTGATTTTATTTTACAGGAACATACGCGAAGAGTGTTTCGAAAATTCATTTTCAAATTCTGCTGTCACGTTGGACACTTGTGGCATAGTCGTCCAAATCATACACGAGTTGAGGGGTTTTCTAAAATTGTCGTGTTGGGTCACACCACCTACTCGACTTTCAGAGCCCTTATTGATGCAACAAACTAATGGACGTATTCTGTGAAGTCATGTGAGACAAGAGGATACGAATGATACTTCATGTAGATGATCTCCTTCTGGTCGGTCGTCGGAAACGGCTTATGCAGCACAAACGCTTCATAAGACCTACTGAGCTCCCTAGGCTCGGCAAGGTCTATTGAGACCAGCCATCGACTTTCACACCTGGAAGTGATAATAGACTTCAAGCAGAACAGTATTAAGATGTCCCACCAATTCAAGGAAAATCTCATAACTTTAGGAGCTCAGATCAGGACACAAGGACTACGCAATCAACGACGAGCAAATACAAAAAAGCTGGCAATCATATTGAGGTGACCTCCAATTAGCAAGTTTCTTCAATGTTGCATTGCGGACTTTCGTAGTGGATTTGCAACAGACGACCCTGTAGAACAGGAAAATCCCGGCCTGACTCTCCGGAGCAGCCTTCAAAACAATAGAGAAATTAAATCTACTCCTATCGATCTTTCAATCTCGGAAGGGTTGGCTTCCGGAGAACCAAGCGACACTTGTATCAGATTCGTAGAAGATAGGATTCGGCGCGATACTATATCACCAGGGCAGAACAACCTTATTCTCAGGAATATGGACACCAGCAGAACAACGATGGTCAATAGCCGTGGGTTTTAACTCAACTTGGGCCGCCGACGATCTATCATGGATGAGCAAATTGCTGGAATACCACTGGGCAGTTTGGTCATCAGACGTACTCCAGGAAATATCAGCAAAGCAGGACACATCATGGACATGTCTCCTTTGCAGCTCCTTACCACTACAAGTGGGTCCAGACACTGGAGCTTCTTCCTTCCCAAAACAATGCTGGGAACCACTCTCGCTCAACTGGACAAACGGCTCCAGGCTCCAGAGGGCAGTAATCAAAGTGGCTATCTGGAAGAGCGAAATCCGGTGGCCATACAACGGCCAGAACGCATCCGATCTGATTATATTGGAATCAGGTGCCGTTCACTATCCCAGCCATATCGCCAAATAATTGGTATTTGAATTGCCACAACACACCTCTACGTAGCCGTGCTATACGACACGGTCGACAGCGCGCCAACGCCAGCGTAGCACCCGCCTTTCTTCGCCAATAACTCACAAATGGTGGTAGCGGACGGTACACGTGCTGATTGTCAGCATACGCTCACGATATGAAAAGACTATTGCATCGCCTCTCGTATATTGGCAGCGTTGCTTACATATGGGCATCTACGCCTTTCTACAATAAATAATGTTTTTATAAGGTTCTACAAGGGGTATCACCCACATCAATTTCGACAGATATTTTAATACCACATGCATTTGATATATTTCTGCTGAATAGTGATACAGTGAACCATCCGCCATGGGCACATACCATGATTCATCGCCTCAGTCATTTTGGTCGGAGATCGGCCGTACGAGTCCGAATTCTAACCTGTGTCTTAGTGACTATAGAACAGGTTCGTTTCGAGTCTAAACCCTAAACCCCGCAAGACGCGTACGGCGTACGACGTGGTAGCGCAAGATGACGAGCCAGAGTTAAATCAGCCTTTGAAGCCGATCTCGTCCGGTCGTTCCAAGAAATAGACTGTGCTACGCGTAACCCATCGCCAGAAGTGGTATTTAAAAACACATTACGGGAAAAACAGATTTTTAATCATTCGTTGTCGCGTCATGCAGATTTTAAGACAATAAGAGTGGGGGAGAACAAGATACTCATATGGATGATCGTTTGTCGTCTTTTGTGGAAACAGAAGACATTGATTGTTCGTCACCATCACCTAGTGATGCATCAGAGGATGAGTCCCCCCCCCCCCCCCAGATGAACCGTGTCCAGTAGGATACATACACAATAAGGAGTCTAGAACGTTGTACTACTGTTCTTCCATATAGTTGTACAGATTTGTCGTGTATATCTTAACTTGTAGTATTTCAGAAGGTTGTACTGCGTTTGCTTGGAACGTGACGTATTGGCAGAGACAAGGGATATGTCACCTTAGGTGAAGACGTGGCCGAGTATGGTATCAACGACAATCAAGTATGTTATATTAGTCAGCATCCTTCAAAGAATACCTATTGTCTACATGGCGCCAAGGTAAGGAAGAGGTAGAACTTGTGTCGAGTGGCCAGCATCGCTCGATTTCAACTCATTTCAGCAGAACAGTTTGTTGGTGTCAGCACATACTGTTTTGTTGATACTGTGTAAATTCCATAGTGGGTTTAGTCATCTCCTTGAAAATACAAACAATCATTGATACAAAGCAAGTGTGGTTGAACTATTTTTTGTGTAATACTGGCGACTATTAATACCACATGCTCTATAGGTATCTGAGTGGGGGAGACGTTCAGTCGAAAGCGGGGTCTATTACTACAATTAGAGCGATCCACTACCATTGGACAACAGTCAATTTATGGTCGAAATATTTGTCTGTGTAAAATTCATAGTGGGTTTAGTCATTTCATTGTAAATGCAAACACAATCGTTGATACAAACCAAGTGTGGTTGAACTTTTTTGTGTGTTATTGGCGACTATTACTACCACATGCGCTATAGGGGATCCCCATATATATATATATATATATATATATATATATATATATATATATATATATATATATATATATATATATATATATATATATATATACTACTACG